GAGAAAAGAATTTATAACCATTAATAAAGTTATTAAATGGAATTCCAGGTGTGCTTTTAAGTCTGGTTTCAGTAAGACCAATAACAGAAAAATTATGATTTAGTTCCGAAAGCATATGTATAAAATTGTCAATGTTGGCATTTAGACTTCTGATGTTGGAGTGCAAAACCCAAAAACATTTACCAGAAATGCTACTTTCAATTTCGAGGTTTTCTGAAAAATCTTGGGTAGAATAATACTTAAAATTAGRTTGAGTTGGAAGGTGAGAGTCAGGATCTAAATTATTCAAATCATATATATCATTAATTGAACTCAAGTGTTGTAATAAATCAGTTGAATGACACATAGAAAGTTGAACATCTAAGATTACTTAGCTTCATTCGTATAAGTTATCAATGTCTAGATCATTGGAGATCGTGACCACAGGACTAGATCCATCCTTCCTCAGCGATATTCTACCATTATTAGTCCATATATATTTATACTTTAGTTCTCTTCTTGCCTTGAGACATCGGTTGAATAGCATTTGGTTATGACGCGTCAGGCTCTCTGCAAGGTATATTTTCTGTGTTGGAAACCTTACAAGACCAATATCTCGGGTTGACTTGTCACGTAGATATTTTCTAGCTTGGTATAATTCATCACGAAGTTCGCGTCGTACGAATTTAACTATGATTGCAGGATCATAGTTCTTGTTTTTCTGTCCAGCTAAACGGTGGCTCACAGAAATATCATCTACTTCAATATTAACATCCACAAGATCACCAATTTTACRGACAATTTCGCTAGTGTCTTCATCGTCACTGACAGGAATCCCTCGAATTTCCAGGCAGTCCCGTCTTGAGTACTGACCAAGATTATTGCATTCCTCCTTAATTTGACTTAGTTCGTTTGATAGACGATGAAGTTGAGTGGATAAACAAGTATTTTCCATCTTGATTTGATGATTTTCAAGCTCRATCTTCTTCATTTTGGTATCAAACTCATCRTATTTCTTGCTTAGAAAATCAAGTGATCGTTCAAATTCTTCTAACTTTGAGACTTTCGCTTTAAGTTCGCAAAGGTCGCTAATTATTGGGCTTAATTTCTCATCAAGTAACTTAGAAAATGTGTTTATAGATTCTTGATCCATCAGAAAAGTAATTAAACAAAAAAAAGCTAAAGAAAATATCAAATTTAGAAAACCAAAACACTAAATTTGAAGAGCGCGGGAATCGACATCCTCCTTCCTCGACCGCTGACCAGTACTCCGCTACCGCTGACAGATGCACACTCTTTTCATAAACCTTTTTTTTTTTGAAATTTTACGCTATTTTTCTCATGAAAATCTATTATATAACGTTTGTGATTTCAATAACTTTTTGAGTGTCCTACAGAGAACAGAACCTGGCTAAGCCTGATCTATTTGTTAATTAAAATAACAAGGTCATGAGAGGGGACAAGTCAGAAATAACAGAGTAAATATTTACCTAGACACTTAAACCATATATTATAGGTTGTGCCAGAAGCTGACAAAAAGTAGAAAACTGTTACAATTGATGTAGATATGGAAGACATTGAACGTCAAAGTCAAATATATGACACCAGCAAAATCAGTTCTAGTCACAAGATGTACCAATATTTTACTAACGTGTGTGATACTTAAAGAAGCACCAAATTCGGGAAAATGGTTCTGCACATCATGCTCAAAGAAATAAACCGTTGAATTTTGACCCGGTTTGTCAGAGTGCTCTTCAAAAGTTTATTCTGTTCTTATCATTTTCACAGTTGCCCCTGAGGGTGGGGAATTTTAGGGTGAATTTTACCCCATACTCTGGGGGACTATTTCTTTAAGATTACCATGCTTCGTTTTCCAATTCCCCCCACTATGTCCCGGGGGTAGGGGGGGAGGGGGTGTTGGAAACAAYTGACTTCAAAAGTCAGAAGTTTGATGAGGCCGTAAAATCCAACAAAATCGCACAAAATATACACATATTACCAGCAAACATTGCAAAATCGGGAATCAAGCATTAGAGAATAAATATTTCAGGTTATTTCAGTCTTTTCAAGCAATAAATCGTTCAACTTCAAGCTAAATTATTGAGAATGAATCCCGCCAAAACATGGCGACAAGCAACCGAACTCTTTACGCTCAATTCAACTCTAAAGTATCGCTCTAAATAAACAAATTAAACAATATATCGCTAATATAATAGTTAATTTACCTTTAGGATGCAGTATGAGCCYTAAAGATCCATAATTGAGGAATAAAAGAAGGATTTTTAGTCAGAAATATTTCCACAACAACTTTTAACGTTCACTCAGTCGATATCACGTGGCTGCCTCGTTTACATGTCAAGACAAACCAACACCAACGGGGGAGGGAGGGGATTGGATTCATGGTTTAAAGTAATTTCGTAACATTTTTCACAGTGTGAATAAAATATTTCGAACAAACAACTCAACGATATCTGCTTTCAAGAGTCGACAACGACTTTTTTWCATGGTATAATAAAAGTCAATTTAGTGATTTTTTAACTTCCTCCAATCGGCTCCAAACATTTTCGCACAGGATAAGATAGGAAAAAAAAGAATAGAAAAATGTAAAAAGAAAGTCTACAGCAACAGTTATTCCCAAACGGTCACCCATACAAGTGAACCGGTTTTTTCTCGGTGGTATGGCCGTAGACAGAAGTAACTGCAAAGCTTTAGTGCTTTTGCACCGTATCAAGTTTTGATCACCAACAAAGTACTTTATATTGGATCACGTTTGAAGCGCCGACAAACGTTACGGGGAAGAAAGAAAACTCGACTAGAAAACAAACAAAAAAGGACAACAAAACAAGAACAGCAATGAAAAGAATAGAAAAACAAAAAGTGAAACGAATCAATTGTCCAAAAGCAACTGAAAACAACAGGATAGGAAAATGCAAAAAGAAATTCTACAGCACCAGCTATTCCCAGGCGGTCACCCATTCATCTACCGATGCTGGCCCTACCGAGTTTCCGAGTTTTCGGACGATAATCAGTTCTTTCTCGGTGGTATGGACGTATTATTAATAATAAAGGTTCCTTTTTTTAATCWATTATTATTATCATTATTATTATTCCAGAATATTGGTTCTGTGGGCTTTGCAAGAGTCTACCTAGCTCGTCCTGTATTTCCGGTTCTTCTAGTTCTTCATTTGTTAGTGAGCAAACCTGAAAATTTAATAGGTAGTACATGTAAGAATTAAATACATAGTGGTAAATTTACAATTGCAAATTATTTTTTAACAATTTTGRGTAGTTAAGGATTTGAGTAGGGGGGTTGTGCAAAACCCCCCAAAAAAATTCGAGCACAGCTTTAAAGAGTAAAAAAAATCGTGCATAAGAAAAGTGCCACAAAAAAATTCCTACACAAGTCATGAGGCGTAAAAGAAATTCCTGCAAAAAGTAAATTGCCCAACCCCCGACCTCCTCAAAACTCTAAGTGGTCCGTCCTCTTATTCCCTCTAGGGAAATGAGTTGCATGTGACAAGAATGATGAAAATAACCACGTGCACATGATCTGAACGATATTCTTTCGAAATGTTTAGTGAAGTTATAATGAGTTCCTGTATTTCATTGTCAACAACATAAGTTAGGCCCCGTTCACACGTATTTTTTGCGAATACGAAGATGTTTGCGTCCACACGCAGCGTATTCGAATCATTTTCACCGTCCACACKTATCCGTTTTCGTAAAATTTGCGGATACGGACACAAAAATTTGCGGACACGTGTGGACGCAACCCGTATCCGTAAAAAAAATTGCGGATACAAAAATTTGTGGATACGTGTGGACGGGGCCTTAGAAATTATTGACACTTAAGCTAGAAATCTAACCAAGTTTTCAATAGGCAACCCTTTAAGTTTTTTTAAGAGAGGAATACATCTAGAAAAGCAGTCAGCATTAAACAAGGTTCTAGCGGTATATGTTTGAAATTTTAGGTTTGTTGKAGACCATCAACAAAGCAATACGCCTGAAGCGAGATGACGTTTTACCCCCGTCTCTAGACCATAATCCTTTTCACACTGCTTTTGTTCTTTAATTATGACTATTGTTCCTGTATTCTCTAAGGAATCAAAAATTTTAATATGAAGGAATTTTAAAAACTATTATGGTATAGGGTCGGGGGTAAAACGTCATCTCGCTTCAGGCTTATTACCCCCAGACAAAGCAGAGTATTCCAGAAGATTTGATACGAAAGTTGAATAGGGTTAAGAGCGCTCTTCCCGAGACTTTTTTTAAAAGAAAAAGATGAAACTGTAATACGTTATTTATCGGACTCCCCACAAATCGGAATCGAAAACTAAAAATCGGGAGGGGGGGGGGGGGGGGGGCATTTGATAAAAGTCTTACCGTTGAAATCCTGCTCAAGAACAACTTCATATCGGAAGGGGCGTTTTCCAGTTCGCGCGCCATAAAAACAAAGTCAAACCCTTTATACTCGTTTCTCGATGTTTCATTTTGATTGATTGATCCAGGTATTAATTCTATTCATAAGTTAACAGATGTAAGCASAGTGGCGCAKTGGAAGCGTGCTGGGCCCATAACCCAGAGGTCCAAGGATCGAAACCTTGCTCTGCTATGCGTGATTTTTTTCTTGTATTTACGTTGTGTTTCGTTCTTGTGATAAGGTGGTCATTCCTCTTTATTTGGAATCACGATTTTAGGTGTGAAAATCTCCCATAAATTACGACAAATTTAATATTCTTCTTACTTTTGGCTCTTTTTCTGGTTTAAGACGGCAAACTGAAAGGCGTATTTCATTGGCTGAAATCAAGGAAACATAGTACCCCAATCGTAAACTTCCACTTATCGTATTCCCACATGGTGTAGTGGCTAGGATTCGGGTTCGATTCCCGGTGTGGAAAATAATTTTAATCGAACCGTACATGATTCTGTCTAGAGATCCAGCCACACCAAAAACGTTAAACAAAAGATTTATCCACTTCCATAAAGAAACCCAACTAAGACTACCTTTTACTAGAATAAAAGCACGGCGTTTGGTTAAGGCGTGATTGCACGGAGCAATTTTCTCTGAAACTTGACTCGCAATAGCGTTGCGACACCAGTTGCAATGTTTACATGGTGCAAAGAAGAGGCAAACAATTGTCGCAACTTGTCTCGCAACATCTTTTTCAAATTGCGCTGTAGGATATACGCTGTAATACTCCATACAACTTGTGTCGCAACGCTGTTGCAGAAAAAAATTGCTTGTGTAATCCCGCGGGAATYTTAAGAAGATGAAGTCGTCAGCAAAAAGATTTTTGCAAATCAGAGTGCGTTGTTCACGATAGCGCGATTTCAATACAAAACTAAASGGCCTTTCAATCATTAAAGTGCATCAAGGCAAAGCATAGATCGAAGGTAAAACTATCTAGCGCCTCGTGGTCCTTACCACAGCCTACCCAAGGTCAYGTAAAGTGACCCAAACACTCAATAACATATTCAGCCTTCGACCTCATTTGGGCTGAGGGTCTAAATGTTAATTTAAATAGAGCTGTTTGACGTATCGTATTTTAACGGAAAGCATATTTGTTATAGAGATTGTTATTGATTTGTCTTTACAACAGGATTTGTTTTACGAAGCTCTGATTATTTAATGCAAAGTTTAGACCTTCACGTTGCTTGGATGACCACGGTAATCAGTGGTCCATGTTTCCATTGAGATGTTAAAAGGGGACCCAAGAGTTTATCAGTTTGTTTACTTTCAAGTGCCATCCTCAAAACAAAAAATTGATATGATTTACTCTAATTTATCATCATTACCATCGTGGGTATCGTCGTTATCAGTACCATCATCTATTCATTTATTATCTATTATTTATTCGTGATTTTGGCTGGTGTAGCACAATAGAACACAGGACGCAAAATACCTATCCAAAAGCTCGAAACCCATTATGAAATTATTAGTAATGTCCAGACACTAAAGGGGTGGTCACTGCCAGGGGTTCATTACAACTTCAGTGTTTCTTTTACGGTTCTCCCTCACAGAGGGAGTTAGGACGTTATCAGCCGAGTAATGTGAAGGTCTAACCATTTATAGTTGTAATTACAAAAGCCGCACTTTCTCCTCAGTTATTTAAGACCTTAAGTTTTGTTCTCATCATCATCACCATGATAATAATCATCATCATCAACAACATCGTCATCATCATCATT